TCAGCCTATATCATGCCATTCAGCCTATATCATGCCATTCAGCCTATCTCATGCCATTCAGCCTATCTCATGCCATTCAGCCTATCTCATGCCATTCAGCCTATATCATGCCATTCGGCCTATCTCATGCCATTCAGCCTATATCATGCCATTCAGCCTATATCATGCCATTCAGCCTATCTCATGCCATTCAGCCTGTATCGTGCCATTCAGCCTATCTCATGCCATTCAGCCTATCTCATGCCATTCAGCCTATATCATGCCATTCAGCATATATCATGCCATTCAGCCTATCTCATGCCATTCAGCCTATCTCATGCCATTCAGCCTGTATCGTGCCATTCAGCCTATCTCATGCCATTCAGCCTATCTCATGCCATTCAGCCTATCTCATGCCATTCAGCCTATCTCGTGCCATTCAGCCTATATCATGCCATTCAGCCTATCTCATGCCATTCAGCCTATATCATGCCATTCAGCCTATATCATGCCATTCAGCCTATCTCATGCCATTCAGCCTATATCATGCCATTCGGCCTATCTCATGCCATTCGGCCTATCTCATGCCATTCGGCCTATCTCATGCCATTCAGCCTATATCATGCCCCTCAGCCTATATCATGCCATTCAGCCTATATCATGCCATTCAGCCTATCTCATGCCATTCAGCCTATCTCATGCCATTCAGCCTATCTCATGCCATTCAGCCTATATCATGCCATTCGGCCTATCTCATGCCATTCAGCCTATATCATGCCATTCAGCCTATATCATGCCATTCAGCCTATCTCATGCCATTCAGCCTGTATCGTGCCATTCAGCCTATCTCATGCCATTCAGCCTATCTCATGCCATTCAGCCTATATCATGCCATTCAGCCTATATCATGCCATTCAGCCTATCTCATGCCATTCAGCCTATCTCATGCCATTCAGCCTGTATCGTGCCATTCAGCCTATCTCATGCCATTCAGCCTATCTCATGCCATTCAGCCTATCTCATGCCATTCAGCCTATCTCGTGCCATTCAGCCTATATCATGCCATTCAGCCTATCTCATGCCATTCAGCCTATATCATGCCATTCAGCCTATATCATGCCATTCAGCCTATCTCATGCTTTTCAGCCTATATCATGCCATTCGGCCTATCTCATGCCATTTGGCCTATCTCATGCCATTCAACCTATATCATGCCATTCAGCCTATATCATGCCATTCAGCCTTGATCATGCCATTCAGCCTATCTCATGCCATTCAGCCTATTTCATGCCATTCAGCCTATATCATATCATTCGGCCTATCTCATGCCATTCAGCCTATATCATGCCATTCGGCCTATATCATGCCATTCGGCCTATCTCATTCCATTCAGCCTATCTCATGCCATTCAGCCTATCTCATGCCATTCAGCCTATCTCATGCCATTCAGCCTATATCATGCCATTCAGCCTATCTCATGCCATTCAGCCTATCTCATGCCATTCAGCCTATATCATGCAATTCAGCCTTTATCATGCCATTCAGCCTATATCATGCCATTCAGCCTATCTCATGCCATTCAGCCTATCTCATGCCATTCAGCCTATCTCATGCCATTCGGCCTATCTCATGCCATTCAGCCTATATCATGCCATTCAGCCTATCTCATGCCATTCAGCCTATCTCATGCCATTCAGCCTATCTCATGCCATTCGGCCTATCTCATGCCATTCGGCCTATCTCATGCCATTCAGCCTATATCATGCCATTCAGCCTATATCATGCCATTCAGCCTATATCATGCCATTCAGCCTATCTCATGCCATTCAGCCTATATCATGCCATTCAGCCTATCTCATGCCATTCAGCCTATATCATGCCATTCGGCCTTTCTCATGCCATTCAGCCTATCTCATGCCATTCAGACTATATCATGCCATTCAGCCTATATCATGCCATTCAGCCTATATCATGCCATTCAGCCTATATCATGCCATTCAGCCTATCTCATGCCATTAAGCCTATCTCATGCCATTCCGCCTATCTCATGCCATTCGGCCTATCTCATGCCATTCAGCCTATATCATGCCATTCAGCCTATCTCATGCCATTCAGCCTATCTCATGCCATTCAGCCTATCTCATGCCATTCGGCCTATCTCATGCCATTCGGCCTATCTCATGCCATTCAGCCTATATCATGCCATTCGGCCTATCTCATGCCATTCGGCCTATCTCATGCCATTCAGCCTATATCATGCCATTCAGCCTATATCATGCCATTCAGCCTATCTCATGCCATTCAGCCTATCTCATGCCATTCAGCCTATCTCATGCCATTCAGCCTATATCATGCCATTCGGCCTATCTCATGCCATTCGGCCTATCTCATGCCATTCAGCCTATATCATGCCCCTCAGCCTATATCATGCCATTCAGCCTATATCATGCCATTCAGCCTATCTCATGCCATTCAGCCTATCTCATGCCATTCAGCCTATCTCATGCCATTCAGCCTATCTCATGCCATTCAGCCTATATCATGCCATTCGGCCTATCGCATGCCATTCAGCCTATATCATGCCATTCAGCCTATATCATGCCATTCAGCCTATCTCATGCCATTCAGCCTGTATCGTGCCATTCAGCCTATCTCATGCCATTCAGCCTATCTCATGCCATTCAGCCTATCTCATGCCATTCAGCCTATATCATGCCATTCAGCCTATCTCATGCCATTCAGCCTATCTCATGCCATTCAGCCTGTATCGTGCCATTCAGCCTATCTCATGCCATTCAGCCTATCTCATGCCATTCAGCCTCTCTCATGCCATTCAGCCTATCTCGTGCCATTCAGCCTATCTCATGCCATTCAACCTATCTCATGCCATTCAGCCTATATCATGCCATTCGGCCTATCTCATGCCATTCAGCCTATCTCATGCCATTCAGCCTATATCATGCCATTCAGCCAATATCATGCCATTCAACCTATCTCATGCCATTCAGCCTATATCATGCCATTCGGCCTATCTCATGCCGTTTGGCCTATCTCATGCCATTCAACCTATATCATGCCATTCAGCCTATATCATGCCATTCAGCCTATATCATGCCATTCAGCCTATCTCATGCCATTCAGCCTATTTCATGCCATTCAGCCTATATCATATCATTCGGCCTATCTCATGCCATTCAGCCTATATCATGCCATTCGGCCTATATCATGCCATTCGGCCTATCTCATTCCATTCAGCCTATCTCATGCCATTCAGCCTATCTCATGCCATTCAGCCTATCTCATGCCATTCAGCCTATATCATGCCATTCAGCCTATCTCATGCCATTCAGCCTATCTCATGCCATTCAGCCTATATCATGCCATTCAGCCTATCTCATGCCATTCAGCCTATCTCATGCCATTCGGCCTATCTCATGCCATTCGGCCTATCTCATGCCATTCAGCCTATATCATGCCATTCAGCCTATCTCATGCCATTCAGCCTATCTCATGCCATTCAGCCTATCTCATGCCATTCAGCCTATCTCATGCCATTCAGCCTATCTCATGCCATTCGGCCTATATCATGCCATTCGGCCTCTCTCATGCCATTCAGCCTATATCATGCCATTCAGCCTATATCATGCCATTCAGCCTATATCATGCCATTCAGCCTATCTCATGCCATTCAGCCTATTTCATGCCATTCAGCCTATATCATATCATTCGGCCTATCTCATGCCATTCAGCCTATATCATGCCATTCGGCCTATATCATGCCATTCGGCCTATCTCATTCCATTCAGCCTATCTCATGCCATTCAGCCTATCTCATGCCATTCAGCCTATCTCATGCCATTCAGCCTATATCATGCCATTCAGCCTATCTCATGCCATTCAGCCTATCTCATGCCATTCAGCCTATATCATGCCATTCAGCCTATCTCATGCCATTCAGCCTATCTCATGCCATTCAGCCTATCTCATGCCATTCGGCCTATCTCATGCCATTCAGCCTATATCATGCCATTCAGCCTATCTCATGCCATTCAGCCTATCTCATGCCATTCAGCCTATCTCATGCCATTCGGCCTATATCATGCCATTCGGCCTATCTCATGCCATTCAGCCTATATCATGCCATTCAGCCTATATCATGCCATTCAGCCTATCTCATGCCATTCAGCCTATCTCATGCCATTCAGCCTATCTTATGCCATTCGGCCTATCTCATGCCATTCAGCCTATATCATGCCATTCAGCCTATCTCATGCCATTCAGCCTATCTCATGCCATTCAGCCTATCTCATGCCATTCAGCCTATCTCATGCCATTCAGCCTATCTCATGCCATTCAGCTTATCTCATGCCATTCAGCCTATCTCATGCCATTCAGCCTATCTCATGCCATTCAGCCTATCTCATGCCATTCAGCCTATCTCATGCCATTCAGCCTATATCATACGCATGTGGGATAGAACTTCAAATGGTTGCTGTCCGGACCGCACAGCTGCCAAGGCTGACTGGAAGTAAACAACCAAACCCTTGGACGGCTGCTTACCCGCCCCATTGTTGTTGCACACAAGTCACATCTGGTCGGCTGCTTTGCCGGGCAAGCTTTCTATGTAATCGCTCTTGAGTTGTGAAGCGAATAAAGAATTACCACAGAAAGGAGAATATTGCACACACATCCACTCCACAAAGGGCCCATAAATGCGATCGAAGCATCCTACTGCCCACACTGTCTGGCTGCTACAAGCTTGGACGAAGCAGCACTACACTGATATCCCCCATGCATCAGTGCGCATGCTGCTGCACCCAAGCTCTTGCGGCAATGCCACCGATACAAGGCACCTGCACTAAATGCCAATCTCCCGTGCTAGCCACTTGGCAAAGCCACCTACATATTGTTGTTTTACTTTGCGTCCCATGCCCCTACACTGTGCCTTCAGCGTCCCATGCCCCTACGCTGCGCATTCCACCACCCATGCCTCCTCCAATACCGTCATCCATGCCTCCCCATCAAGGAGAATACGACCCTGGTCCGCCCATACCACCTCCCATGTTGCCCCCAGGACCACCCATCCCTCCGCCCATCCCTCCGCCCATCCCGCCGGCCATCCCTCCGCCCATCCCAGGTCCACCCTGGCCGGGTGCTGCCTGCGACCCTGGAGCAAACCACCCTGACCCGCCCATGCCTCTGCCGCCCATCCCTCCGCCGCCCATTCTGCCGCCGCCCATACCACCACTCATGCCTCCGCCCATGTTCCCCCCAGGACCCATGGCTGATTGTGATCCGGGAGCAGAGGACCCAGGTCCGCCCATGCCGCCGCCGCCCATTCCGCCGCCTCCCATTCCGCCGCCGCCCATTCCGCTGCCGCCCATTCCGCCGCCACCCATTCCGTCACCGCCCATTCCACCGCCGCCCATCCCGCCGCCGCCCTTTCCGCCGCCGCCCATTCCACCTCCGCCCATCCCGCCGCCGCCCATTCCGCCTCCGGCCATCCCGCCGCCGCCCATTCCGCCGCCGCCCATTCCGCCGCCACCCATTCCGCCGCCGCCCATTCCACCTCCGCCCATGCCGCCGCTGCCCAATCCGCCGCCGCCCATGCCGCCGCCGCCCATTCCGCCGCCACCCATGTCCCCCCCAGGACCCATGGCTGATTGCGATCCGGGAGCAGAGGAACCAGGTCCTCCCATTCCGCCGCCGCCCATTCCGCCGCCGCCCGTTCCGCCTCCGCCCATTCCGCTGCCACTCATTCTGTCGCCACCCATTCCGCCACCGCCCATTCCGCCGCCGCCCATTCCGCCGCCGCCCATGCCGCCGCCTCCAATTCCGACGCCGCCCATTCCGCCGCCGACCGGCATTCCGCCTCCGCTCGTTCCGCCGCCCTGTTGTTGCTGCTGGTATGTCGGGCGTCCGCCTTGCGCCCATCCGCGCATCATCCCGCGCAGCTTGTCCGCGCGGAGTCCCGCGGAGAAGCGGAAGGCCAACGCCGCGTGGAGAGATGAGAGCAGGACGAGCGAGAGGAGGAGAAGGGCCGTGCTCAGGTCACGGCGACCTCGATGGCTCGACGAGTGTGAGATTCTCCGCGTCATTGTGATATTTCTGCCTAGTGTGCACGAAGAATATTTTATAGCTGCCTTGCAGCTCGGGAGTAAAAGATGTGGAAACAACTTCAGAATTGAAAAGCTTTCGTATTCCTGTCTTGAGGAGAAAGGGTGGAAGTGAAGACTGATGAATGGGGATGAGTTGCTGAATGTGTCCGCTCCAGCATTTTTGTATCCTCGTCGCGTCGCCAATGCTGCATTCGCGCGGCGCGATGACTCGATCTCCCAGCAATAGACCAATGAACGAACAGAGGCTGCCGTCGAGTCAAACACATGAAATTCCAGTCAACCTCTCGCAAAAAATGTTGACCACTGTAGCTTTTCTACCACCCTCCAACGAATTCGGAAGAAACTAGAATCCCGTTTTAGATCTGATCCGATATTTGCAGTCTCTGCCCTTGTGCATGGCACAAACATCAATGAAAGTCTGTGCAGTCATACTTCCACAATCGCGGATAAATCTATGACTAGCAAGCAAGTCCCTGAGTGACTGACAGTTGGTGAGCTCATCGCAGGAGCGTTTCGAGAGGTGTCACGATCCGCGACTTGCTCGACCAAGCTAACGTGACAAAAATGTCGAATTCGCTGGAGGGCACGGCAGGGGGGGCTTAGAAACAAGGCGCGAACGCAGAGGCCTTTCGCGAGACCAATTCCATTTCGACGTCGCGCAGCGAATCCGCTGCCGCGAGCCCCATCGCACCATGCCCTAGCAATACGTGAGGTAGAAGAGAGGACAGGAGAGGTGGGGGAAGGGGGAAGGTTGGGGATGGTTTGAGCGCACGCGCAGGAAGGCTCAGAGAATCAACAGTTTTGAGATGTCTCAAAAAACGCACGAAGGCTCAAGAGGATCAACAGCGAGAATCGAATTTCTCTCGTTGCATCGAAGCGCACACCTTGAGTTCATCCACGTCTCCATGCCGTGCCGCTTACTCGCTATGCGGCTGCGTTGCATGCAATCGCTTTCCTGAGGTCGGCGATGGCGCAGATGATTAACAGCGAGAACCGAGCTCCACGCGCAGCTCCGCCACGCGCAGTTCCGCGATGCGCTGCTCCGCCATGCGCAGCTCCGCCTTGCGCAGCTTCGCGATGCGCTGCTCGTCAGCGTGCTGTCACCTGCCACCCAAGATTGCCGCCGTACTTGCCATGCCTGCCTCCTTTTCCTGCATGTCGCAACATGCCCCCTGTCCTGCCCTGTTCTTCCCCGCACTGCCCCGCCGTGTCCTCATCACCATTCTGCATTTGGCAAGTCTCTCTCGCTCTCCGTACCTCCGCGTCTCCCAACCTCACCACCTCCCACTTCAGCAGCCGGCCCTGTGCCATGTCAAGCCCTGACCTGACCACCCTACCCGGCCGAACCTCCTCCCGCATTCCCATTCTTGAGTCGTTTCAAAAATAGCCTCCCGCTTTCCCACTCACCGCAGACAACCCCAGCCTGCCCAACCCGCGTCGTGCGACTGGGAAGGTCAAGTGCGCTGCTGTAGTCTTTCCTTCCGCTCAACAGCTCTGTCTTTCCCATTCTTGAGACGTCTCAAAGAGTTGTTCTTTCCACTCAGTACCTCTGCGGAATCCTCTTTCTGCCACATGCAGTCTCGCTTCCCCACTCGTTGTCGTGCCAGTCGCCTCACCGTTCCTGCACATTCATTCCCCTGCCTGATCCACCACCTTGTGGAAGTAAGGCCTTTGCAGCCCACCTGTCCTCTCTTGACAGCTCATTCATTCCCCTGCCTGATCCACCGCCTTGTGGAAGTAAGGCCTTTGCAGCCCACCTGTCCTCTCTTGACAGCACATTCATTCCCCTGCCTGATCCACCGCCTTGTGGAAGTAAGGCCTTTGCAGCCCACCTGTCCTCTCTTGACAGCACATTCATTCCCCTGCCTGATCCACCGCCTTGTGGAAGTAAGGCCTTTGCAGCCCACCTGTCCTCTCTTGACAGCACATTCATTCCCCTGCCTGATCCACCGCCTTGTGGAAGTAAGGCCTTTGCAGCCCACCTGTCCTCTCTTGACAGCACATTCATTCCCCTGCCTGATCCACCGCCTTGTGGAAGTAAGGCCTTTGCAGCCCACCTGTCCTCTCTTGACAGCTCATTCATTCCCCTGCCTGATCCACCGCCTTGTGGAAGTAAGGCCTTTGCAGCCCACCTGTCCTCTCTTGACAGCACATTCATTCCCCTGCCTGATCCACCGCCTTGTGGAAGTAAGGCCTTTGCAGCCCACCTGTCCTCTCTTGACAGCACATTCATTCCCCTGCCTGATCCACCGCCTTGTGGAAGTAAGGCCTTTGCAGCCCACCTGTCCTCTCTTGACAGCTCATTCATTCCCCTGCCTGATCCACCGCCTTGTGGAAGTAAGGCCTTTGCAGCCCACCTGTCCTCTCTTGACAGCTCATTCATTCCCCTGCCTGATCCACCGCCTTGTGGAAGTAAGGCCTTTGCAGCCCACCTGTCCTCTCTTGACAGCTCATTCATTCCCCTGCCTGATCCACCACCTTGTGGAAGTAAGGCCTTTGCAGCCCACCTGTCCTCTCTTGACAGCACATTCATTCCCCTGCCTGATCCACCACCTTGTGGAAGTAAGGCCTTTGCAGCCCACCTGTCCTCTCTTGACAGCTCATTCATTCCCCTGCCTGATCCACCACCTTGTGGACTCACCTCACCCACCCCCCCACACTCCCTCCCCCCCACCCACCCCCCCACACTCCCTCCCCCCCACCCACCCCCCCACACTCCCTCCCCCCCACCCACCCCCCCACACTCCCTCCCCCCCCCCACCCACCCCCCCACACTCCCTCCCCCCCCCACCCACCCCCCCACACTCCCTCCCCCCCCCCACCCACCCCCCCACCCTCCCACCCCCCAAGCCTTCCCACCACTCACCGCTCCTCCACATCCTTGGGGGTTCCTCCAGCTCTCACCGCCTAGCTCCACGTTCCCCGGCTGATACTCCCTCCTCATTCTTTTTGTTTGAGGTTGATTTTGAGAATTCTCAAAATCAACCTCAAACAAAATGGACCGCCTAGCTCCACGTTCCCCGGCTGATACTCCCTCCTGATTCTTCTCTGCTCATCGCCTCGAGCGGCTGGAGTGGCTTTGGCGGGGACAGGGCTGCTATTCGCGGTGATTCTAGCATGCTGCTGCTGCTGCTGCTGCTGCTGCTGCTGCTGCTGCTGCTGCTGCTGCTGCTGCTGCTGCTGCTGCTGCTGCTGCTGCTGCTGCTGCTGCTGCTGCTGCTGCTGCTGCTGCTGCTGATGCTGCTGCTGCTGCTGCTGCGACATGGCAGCAGGGACGTCACCCATCAGGTAGGCGGGTGATGTCAATTCAATTCAACCCACTCCGACACTCGGGAAAACAATTTTGTAGGCGTCTGCTTGTCATGTGCTGGCAGTAGTGAGCAATGCCAATGTCAATCTTAGCTCACAAGTGTCGTTAGCAAGATCTTAGCCTGCGCAAGCCAACCGCTCCCCCGTGCATCCACTGCCAACCCTCCTTCAGGTGCTCTGCTCACACGAGCTCCAGTATTGGGTTCGTGCCTTTGAGTCGACTCAAAACTGCTTTTGCTTTTGAGTCGACTCAAAACTGCTTTTGCTTCTGAGTCGACTTAAAAGCAGGTTCACGGTTTGAGTCGACATGGATTCGGCAGGCCACGTGCATGCATGCATGCATGCATACGATCTCATGCAGTCATTCATGCATGCGAGTTCGGCTCCCATGCACGTTTGCATACCTACGCAGTTATGTCAAAGGTGCTTCGCTCATTAGCTGACTCAAACACGTAAGCCTCACATGCATGCATGCCTAGCTTTGACTTTCAGAACTGCAAAGTATCAGTGCGTCTATGTGTCTCCATGCCAACCCAGTGATTTTCACAAGTGGGATGTGCTTGCAATTGCAGGAGTATCCGCTCATTGGTGTATCAGTGTGTATCTGTTTTCCTCCTCCCAGCCCAATGGCACTGCCACGTGTCACAAGGCCACAGCTCTGGCTCAGCTTCAACCCCACGAGAACCCCCACGAAAGCCCAGACCCTTCGGTGCAATCTGCGCTCTTTCTTGTTCTGCCTCGGCTGTGAGTGACACTCGGCTGTGAGTGACACTCGGCTGTGAGTGACACTCGGCTGTGAGTGACACTTGGCTGTGAGTGACACTCGGCTGTGAGTGACACTCAGCTGTGAGTGACACTCGGCTGTGAGTGACACTCGGCTGTGAGTGACACTCGGCTGTGAGTGACACTCGGCTGTGAGTGACACTCGGCTGTGAGTGACACTCGGCTGTGAGTGACACTCGGCTGTGAGTGAAATGGGGTGCATCTGTGCCGTGCGTGTCACTTGTGTGTTCATGCATGCATACATGCACCCTTCCACTCATACCCGTCTCCCATCTCCCATCTCCCATCTCCCATCTCCCATCTCCCATCTCCCATCTCCCCCATGCCCGTCTCCCCCATGCCCGTCTCCCCCATGCCCGTCTCCCCCATGCCCATCTCCCCCATGCCCATCTCCCCCATGCCCATCTCCCCCATGCCCATCTCCCCCATGCCCGTCTCCCCCATGCCCATCTCCCATCTTCTGTCTCTCATCTGTGTGCGTGCAGGGCGTGGTGGCGAAGGATGTGTTCACGGTGTCGTACCATGGGGGGCCACTGGATGATGAGATGACCACGGTGAGACGAAACGAGCATGGTGAGATGAAACGATTATGGTGAGATGAAACGAGCACGGTGAGATGAAACGAGCACGGTGAGATGAAACGAGCATGGTGAGATGAAACGAGCATGGTGAGATGAAACGAGATGAAGCAACCAACCGTGGAAACCACCACAATCAGATGCTTGTGTTGTGTCCCTGTCCACCACTGTCCCTGTCCACCACTGTCCCTGTCCACCACTGTCCCTGTCCACCACTGTCCCTGTCCACCACTGTCCCTGTCCACCACTGTCCCTGTCCACCACTGTCCCTGTCCACCACTGTCCCTGTCCACCACTGTCCCTGTCCACCACTGTCCCTGTCCACCACTGTCCCTGTCCACCACTGTCCCTGTCCACCACTGTCCCTGTCCACCACTGTCCCTGTCCACCACTGCCCCTGTCCACCACTGCCCCTGTCCACCACTGCCCCTGTCCACCACTGTCCCTGTCCAGCACTGTCCCTGTCCAGCACTGTCCCTATCCACCACTGTCCCTGTCCACCACTGTCCCTGTCCACCACTGTCCCTGTCCACCACTGTCCCTGTCCACCACTGTCCCTGTCCACCACTGTCCCTGTCCATCACTGTCCCTGTCCATCACTGTCCCTATCCACCACTGTCCCTATCCACCACTGTCCCTGTCCATCACTGTCCCTGTCCACCACTGTCCCTATCCACCACTGTCCCTGTCCACCACTGTCCCTGTCCACCACTGTCCCTATCCACCACTGTCCCTGTCCACCACTGTCCCTATCCATCACTGTCCCTGTCCACCACTGTCCCTTTGTTTGCAAACGTTGTTCGTGCCACCTGTTCCTTCGGCTCTACTGCGTCTGATCACCGATTCTCTCATGCACCACTGCTGCCAATCATGCACCACTGCTGCCAATCATGCACCACTGCTGCCACTCATGCACCACTGCTGCCAATCATGCACCACTGCTGCCAATCATGCACCACTGCTGCCAATCATGCACCACTGCTGCCAATCATGCACCACTGCTGCCACTCATGCACCACTGCTGCCAATCATGCACCACTGCTGCCACTCATGCACCACTGCTGCCAATCATGCACCACTGCTGCCAATCATGCACCACTGCTGCCACTCATGCACCACTGCTGCTAATCATGCACCACTGCTGCCAATCATGCACCACTGCTGCCAATCATGCACCACTGCTGCCAATCATGCACCACTGCTGCCAATCATGCACCACTGCTGCCACTCATGCACCACTGCTGCCAATCATGCACCACTGCTGCCAATCATGCACCACTGCTGCCAATCATGCACCACTGCTGCCAATCATGCACCACTGCTGCCAATCATGCACCACTGCTGCCACTCATGCACCACTGCGGCTGCCCATCCATCATCACCCCTGCTCCCCCTCCTCATCGTGCCTCTCATCTCTGCTCCACCTCACACCCCTCTCAACGTTCTTAACTACTTTCGCTTTCCCCTCTGCTCACTCCTGCCGAACTCCCTCCCACTACTTCAAGTGCTGCTCACTGGAAGATGTCCCAAGATCTGCTCACTCCTGCCTAACTCCCACTACTCTCAAACGCGACCTCTCTTTCCATCGGATACACTTTCTCTCTCCTTCGTCAAGGTCAAACCCCCCTCCCCCCCCCCCCCCCCACCCACCCCCTCGTCCCGTTCCTTCTCCTCCCTTTCCCTGACCTTCTGACTTCCAGCCCACTCTTGTCACCTGTATTCAAAACCTTTACAAGGAACACTCAGTTCTGTCCTCTACCGTGTTTTTCTTCTTTCGCCCTCCCAGTCTTCCCCCTCACCCACCCATGCCGTTCCGCTCTTGATCTTCTCTGCCCTCTCTCCCACTCCCTCCCGCCTCTCCCTGGCCCCTCGCAGCTCACACTCAACGCCAGTAACTACACTCTCTCGCGGCCAGACATTGAAGCAGAGGGGAGCTACTAGCGTCACGAGGCACCTTATATCGAGGCCGAGAGCTTCCAGTCTCTGAAGACACCTTATAGCGAGGCCGAGGGCTTCTACTGTTTTGATGCACCTTGTAACGAGGCAGAGAGCTACAAGGTAGCAGCAGCAGCGCCAGGCACATGACAGGGCTGTGCATGTTTTTGGTGCTCTTCTGTGATTGAGACTCGACATACCCCCACTTGTCTTCCTCACAGCTGTACAGTCTGTTTTGTATCCATTCATATATCCACTCATCCCCTTTAAAAGCATTCTTGTCTATGATCATGGTTGAAGATAAGACAAGACAGGTACCTAATGTCCACCCTGCCTATAAAATGGGCCCATATAATTTTCAGTCACAAAAGCATTCCTCGGGGGTTATGGTACAGTGCCGTACCTTCCACTCACAACTCTAAAGATAATTTGAACAATGTTTTCTGAGTCCCAGATCCACCCGTACATGTCCTACACGTACGCACTCTTGCATAGCTGTAAATTAATATGCAAAATAGCTGCTGGATCTACCAATAGTCTTGGTACGATTGGAGTCCAGGCCTCTCTTGAAGGTTGTAAGGCACCGGCTCTGGGCCAAGCATCTTGCAGCCAAAGAGATTCAGCACTCGCAGCATCGTCAAGTCACACAGCTGTTGCGGCAGGGACTGAAGCTGCTCACAGCCACTCAGGTCCAGCTCTCTGAGTCGTGCCAAATGGTGGAAGTTGGGAGGGAGGAAGTGAAGAGCCGTATTCCTGGCATCCAACTTGTGCAGGTAAGTGAGGCTGGTGAAAGAACAGGGAAGGCTTGTCAGGGAGGAGCAATTACGCAGGCTAAGGTCCCCTAACCTTGACAAGGAGGAAATGGTCTCCGGAAGATGGGTCAGGCATGGAGCTTCAATATGAAGAGATGTGAGTTGCACCAGCCGTGTCACACTTTCTGGAATCTCCGCCAGATATTCCGCACCTTCCACATGCAGCTGTCGCAGCTGAGGCAGAGCAGAGCCGATGTCATGGGGCAGGTGATGCAATGCCTTGGCATTCGAGATGTGTAGATTACGGAGGCATGAAAGGAAACCGAGCCGGAGTGGAAGCTCTGTTTGTTCAGCGCCCAGGCTCATCTCCAGGTGCTCTATCTGAGAGGGACAACGGCTGGTCGCTGGTGCGTCCATGATGGTAACCAGAATCAATTTCAGCTTCTTGAGATTTGGAGTTGTTGACAAGTCTGGAAAAATGATGCTGCTGGTGTCGTTTCCCAAGCTCAATGTTTCCAGAGACCGCGGCAAAGATTCCAAAGTCTCCTGCAAAAGTTCACATCCCAACAGATCCAGCTCCCGCAGGCATGAGAGGTTTTCCAAGGCTCGAGGTGCAGACGCGAGCTTGGTACACGTGCATGCCTTCAAAGTCTTCAGGCGGCTCAGTTGAGTGATGGATGCTGGCAGTTCTGTCAGCTCATTGCAGCAGCTCAAGGTCAACTCCCGCAGGTCACCAAGATGGCCTGTACCCTCTGGAAGGTTAACAATGGGACACTCGCTGATATCAAGCCGTGTTAGAGAAGAGAGGCGACTGAACGACGCCGGCAGCTGCTGCAGTTCTGCACACCAGCACAGCACCAAATCGCGGAGATTCGCCAGCTCGCCTATCTCCTCCGGAAGTGCCGTCAGCATTGATTCCGTGATGCTCAATGATTCAAGAGCAGCCAAGCAGGAAATTGTTGTGGGGAGGGTGTCTATGTCCACATGGTCCAGAAATAGTTCCTGAAGCCCTGTGAGTAACCCAATAGAATCGGGGAGTCTCTTTAATGACAATCTGATCAACACCAATGACTTCAGCCCTGGAAAATCTCCAAAATTCTCGGGCAGGTTGGATATTTTGAAGTTGAGGATGGTTAGAACTTCCAAGGTGCTGAGGCTTGTGAGGGAATCTGGTACCAGGAACTCAGCAGAATAACGGCTACCGTTAAGGCAGAGTTCGCGAAGTACTGGGAACCGTTCTCCAAGCCCCTCAGGCGGGATGCTCGGAACATAGCTTAGCAGAAGACGTTGAAGACGGAAACACGGTGATTCTGGCGGAAACATTGCAGGGAAGTCCGTTGTTCCCCGCACGAATCCCAGCGAACGAAGATTTATCAGTTCACCAAATGAGAAATCCCCCTCGAAACTGTCGGAGTATATCTCTTCTGGGAAGAACAGGCTGGTCAGATTCGGAAGGCGAGTTAACGGCGACATCTGATGTAACCGCATGCCCAGCTTTTGAATAGACAGCCTCGTGAGAGAAGAGAGATTCACGAAGTTCGGATCCACCAAAGGCGAGACATCTCCCAGTGACAGCGTGTGCAGGCGCGTCAATTGGAAGAACGAAGGCGGAAGCTTTGTGGTCCAATGGAGGCATTGGAGTGACAGCTGCTCCAAGCGGCGACAATGGCGGAAGAGAATGTCCAGCCCAGCTGTCGTGACGGGGTGACCTGATTCGCCAAACTCGTCCATCTCCTCCTCGTGTTTATGGTAACGGCTGTCGTATGGAGCAATTCCTGTGCCAACATGAAGAGCCGTTAGGTTTGGTGACGAGGAGCCGAGAAATGCTAGGAAATTGTCGTCTATCGTTTCCATGCTTCCGTTGCTCAAGTGCAGGCGAGTGAGGTTCGGGAAGGACACCAGAACGCGTTTGAGATACTCGCGAGACACGAGACGATTTCGTGAAACGAGAAGCGTTGTGACGGATTCGTGTGCGAGCTCCCGCCAGCGACGGCAGACTGAGGCAACGAGGAGAGCGTGAGCGACATCGGCAGAGGCAGGGGGTGTCGAAAAATGCGGGTCAGGCTCTGAATCTTCGTTTTCCTCCCTACTAGCGTAATCCGAGAGTGACAATGACGAGGTCGGTCGGAAAACGTCGCAATGCCAGAAGATCCTGACAAGAACATGGTCAGGAAGGCATTGGATATTTGGAGACATTCTCATGTCCTCAGAAGGACGAGCTAAAGCATTGGCTGCCTCCAGAAAGGATCCTGATCAGTAGAACAAGATAAGGGGTTGTCCAGCTCGTTCATTTACTGTTCGTAAAGTCTTCAGTTACCACATTTTGCGTTGTAACACTGATTTTTAGACACGATCAGACACGATCGGCTCCCGTTCAAGATACGGCACACCCCCTGCACGTACCTCGAATCGTGTGACGCACGTTACAGGAATCAGTGTGCTCATCGAACAATGGTACAGAACCGCGTCCTGCCCACTACAGTCAGTGCCTATTGTATCGCGCGCTCGATTCCGCCTGTGCCGCCTGACACTCGCCAAAACCAGTAGAGGAAAAGTTGGCTTGGCGAAAATTCCAACGCTTGGATTGACGAGAGAACCGGTATCTCGGTTTCCACACGGCCCCTGCACTGTTGAAGTCTGTTTGGGGGGAACGTGTCCGCGCGCTAGAATTGACAAAAAGGGTGGACTCGACGCAGGGCGAATTCGTTTTTAGGTACAGTGATTAGTTTTGAACCCCGGATCGTGAGGTGGTGCTAAATTTTCCAAAATGAACGAGCTGGACACCCCCTAAGATGAGAAAGAGCTGGATGAATGGAACCCTCCTTGGCTCCCGCTTGTGTCATAGATGATCCTGCACGAACCTCAAAATCCAAATGATCCTAGTCTAAGGGCGT